GTCCGACCAACGATGTCGGTAGAAAACCGGATAGAATGGATAATTTCATCGTACGTCGTACCACGAAACCCACCACGGCGACAAGGTACAGTACAAACAGCCGCTCCCCGTGCGGCGTAATCGACGACCGGTTGTTGTTGGTCGCGAAAAAAAAAAAAAAAAAATACATTTTACGACGCACTTGACTCGAAAATTCCTCAATAATATACCTACTCTTGGGGTAAACGCCGCCGTGATCACCGTGAACGTTACTACAATGTAACGTTGTTTCCTAAAACCTGTAAACTGTGCGACCAACGCGTAACATTTTAAGTAAAATACATTGTGGGTCCTTAGTGCTCCACTGGCATTGCTGTGCCTAATTGACAGCCGGCAAATGTTCATGTTATTTGTGGCTCGCAATTATTTTTTGCTCGCTTGTCTCGCTCGGACGGGTTTTATAACGTCAAAAGTTTGTGAATTAATATGTTTATGAATATTTCATATATATTTGGTATCCTACGAGACGATTTCAAGTGTAATATTTATGATAATTGTCACTAATAGCCCGACATTTTCCCGACTGTCAACCCTTCAGGCCTATTCGAATGAAGCTAGTTTTTTCACGCTCCAATTGCATACATTATACATAATTTTTTTTTTTTTTTCAATTTTACTAGTGTCGGTCATTGTTAGAATTTCATTTTGTTTCATGAAATGCAACACTCGCGTTCCCTCTGTTTTTTAAATTATATTCACAATATTTGATGATAATCAGTTCCGGCTTTCCGCGAAGCCGGTTATTCTGGAATGGTCGGACTTGTAGTTTCAACTCCAACAGGCGACGTTCCCTTTTGGTCAATCGAATTGTCACATAAAGTCGCAAAAATTAACGGTGACCGTATATTAGGTTTGTGTTGGTCACACGGCAGTGTTAGCCTTAAATCTTGAATTCCGAACTTGACACATGCAAATTTGAAGAAATTACAAAATATTCAACTCCACGGCACACTTGTATTATAAACATTAGTCTCGTGGGCTTACCCGTCGAGGAAAAGCCCTCCGAGTGCCGGTCCGCTCCGCATAATATGAGCGTGACTAACCCACTCCCCTACAGGATACTATGTGTATTATTGTGTGCAAACCCTTTTCTGTTATTTCCCTGAACTCATACCTAAATCGATAGGGGAAAAACTACTATCTTCTCGAATGTACTACCGTTACGTACATTGATATGCAGAAATTAGAAAAAAATAAATAAATAGAATAATGAATCGTGCGGATTGGTATTTTTTAACCCGTTTCAATTTATTATTGAAAATTCAAACTCAAGAAATTAACAACCACGGATTTAATCTAATCTAAACAGCTTGTTATGCATGCTGAGCAAAAGGTTTTTTGTTTACATCAGTTAATTTTTATGTGTTAAACTAACACATATATTTAGAAAGTCCAGTGTCCATCGTTTAATAAATGATGCGCCATAAATGTATCAATATGCAATACGTACAATGTATACATTTAAAATGAAAAATCTCAACATCATTTTTTAAACAGAGTTACAGAGTATCAAGAGTTTCGAGATACTGTGACTCAATAGGCATATAGTTTCACAGCACCAGCATTTCACTTGCCAAAACTTCATGTATTGATTTTATATGTCTATTTCCACTAAGAGTAAAATTTTGTTCTGAATTTCTCAAGTTCTAATCACAATACTAATACGTTCTTCACTGAGTTTGGTTTAATTATGCGATCATTTTTAAAGGTAGTTAATTTTGTGAAGTCGTCAACATAATTTTCTCTAATTAAAATCCTTTAAGATATGACAATTATTAGTTATTTTTAACAATGTATTTTTAAATACATTATTGCCTTTTGACTAATCATTTTTATTCAAAGGTACAGTTTTTAACTGTAGAAATATAGTTAATAAAGAAGGTTTCATCATGGTAATTAATTATTTTGTCGTGAAATCATTGGTATACTATTAATTTCACGTACAAATCATTAACTTCTAAGAATTTTTTTTGTTGTTAACTTAAATGTTAAATGGTTTTTAAAAAATTGTCTAGTCTATGAGATTTAGACATCCATTATAGTATTTTTTTTCATATAATATTTATCCTACAATCGCTTTTTTTTTCACAATATTATTGTTTGTTACGATTAAAAGAGACAATTCATATGTTTATCTATTCGGTATTTACAAATCAAAAAATAGTGAATGCATTTTAATTAAAATGTCTTAATTTTATACGAGTAGCTATTCACAAGCGTAATTTAAATTAACAAGAAATTATAATAAAAATTGTGTCTTAGTAGGTTTTAATTATTAATGTAATTTTCACATATTAGCGAGGAAAATGTTTTTAATAAGATAATTCTATACTATAATTTAGTGGTTTTACACTAAATTTTCAGATTGAAATTTGTTTTATAAGAATTTTCAAATTTCTTTACATTAGGTTCGACAAATACATTTTTTGTAAACTAATGATGACATCACATTACTACAGTTGTTGAACATGTAATACGCAAATGCACAAAGCATATTTTTGTTGCTCTCAGTGTTGGAACAATATTCGTGTAGTTTTTACGATAAATGATTTTTGCTTCAGAAAAACTGCGTCCAGTCTTTAAATGTGGCGGAACGAAAGCATTGTTATTATTTTGTTATTAAAGGTATTCTCGGCGGGATGGTGACTGACGAGCACAACAGCTACGTATAGTGAAACGGACGGCGGGTAAAGGCATGTACCTAAAATAATATAATGCACCCAGAATTCGTTCTTCTGCTTCACCGTATTGTGTTGGTTCGAAACAGGTATTTTCTGGACGGGAATCGGCCGGTGGTGGTGGTGGAGACGATATCATTCTATTCTCTTGGTTTCCATTTTTCTGCTGCTGCCCCTATATTCTTTTGTCGGCAAGAGGGACAGGCATACATACCTAATACTACACACACACTGATACACGACTGCCGTCTCATGCAACCAACACACACACAACGGCAATGGCCTGTCAAATGTTGACAAGTGGTCCGCCCGAATTGGCGTGCAACACGAAACGCAGCACAACCGCCGCCACCGGCCAAAAGAGAACGAGGACCGAATGAGCGGGTGGAAAGAAGAGAGAGAGAGAGAGAGACGCATTTACAATACAGAAAAAGCGTACCTGCCGGAACGCGACGGCCAGAAGCAGCTGTACTGCAACTATAATCTCCCCTATCCGCCTGCTTTATTCCCCTCGTCTGTGTTTCAACCTGCCGCACACGCATAAATAAGTGTAGAACTACCACCGGTTTCCTTCTCTCTCTAACGTTCACATACAACAGTTCGTTCCTGTTATTTTAATCATTATAATTAGAATAATAGCTCCGCTATTTTTTTTTTTACTTGAAATCTCAATAATAAACCCCAAAGGCTTGCGTGATGATAATAGTTTTCGAGAACAGGGAAATATAATATCGATTATCATGAGTCTCTTCATAATTATGAAAAAAATTCGTTCTTTTTCTAATTACAATACCATTTGAACACATTTAAAACTATCAATATTATTTATTTAATTTTCATTGTAACTGTATTATTCATAATATGAATCGCATATTACGAGATATATTTATAATAAATTTGACTAATAGAAAAGGAGTTAAATAAGAATGTAGTTATTTTATTTTTGTATTTCATTAAATAATGCATAATATATATAGAATGATTCTTTTATCATTTGCCACTTAATATTCAAAAAATTAATATGATTTTAACAATTTTACTTTCGATTTCTTTTAGTATCATGTTTTTCTCTATCTATTGTGGCCGACCCTAAGTAGTTGCAATTAAGGCGAGGAAGAAGAAGTTTTTATCTATCTATAAATCATGAAATATTTTTCATGTTTATCCCTTATACATATTGAGGGTGTCAATTTTAACTTTTCGAATGATAACAAACATTATTAACAAGTTAATTCAATATATTATGATCTAATTAAAATAATAACTGGGCTAATGAGTATTTTTTAATTAGTATTTCGAAAGTCATTAAGAACTTATAGTAATGGCCACAGACGAGGCATGGGTTTCATATTTCCACACATTTCCAGGACATTATTTGTCGCCTAGTTATAAAAATATTAATCACTTCCAAAATACTGGTCAACTAATTCTATTTGACAAGCCATTGTTTATTTTATAAATCAGTTAAATATCTGCGCATGCTATCAAAAGGGATGAACATAAAAAAATATTCATGATTAAATATTGAGGAAAACATGTAATTAAAATAAATCAAAAGGAAAATTTTTAAAATCATTTCTATTTTTCTAATAGCTAAGTGATAACAACAAAAGAATCGCCTTGTATTGATTAAATTCAAAGTATATTATTATATGTAATATTAGTAGAACAATTTCAATAATGAAATTTAAGAATATATAGGTACATGTTACATAGTAATTTTGAATCAGAATTGGCAATAGTTTTACAAAATATTAAGATAATTCTTATATATGATGAAGAAAATTGGCCGTCACTTGATACTTATTTTGCCCAATGTATCTCAAACTAAAATAAATAATTTTTTTTGTTGTGTACCTTAAAATTATTTTTATGTATCAATTTTTTATAAAAGCAAATAATGAAATATGATTTAAGTAAATAACTACATGACAATTCAAGTAGTTATTAAATAAGTATTAAAATCAATAAATCTTTTAATTTTCAATGAATATCAATACTCACAACAATAACTGGTAATTTCTCATAAATTACATTAGAATTGTTACAATAATTATTAATTTTAATATTTTATTCCAATGTGTACATTTAATTTAATTAAGATACCGTTTATTTAAATTAAAAAGTTTTATGCAATTATTTATATACTTTTTCATAGAAAAAATATGTAACTAACACTTTTTTGTTCTTTACTTTCTTAAGGTACAAAATAGTATAATACTAATAATGATTTAAATATTAATAAGAAAAAGAATAGATATAAAGGAAAATAAAACAGTCAAATAAAAACCATGTTTAAAAGGTATAATTTTTGTTCTTAAATATATATAAATTTATAACAAAAATATTTTATGTACAAAATTTTTCATGACAATAATTCTACAATGTTTGTAATTACTCGACTTCCATCTAGATCACCTTGCGAGTGGTAACTAGAAAAATATTTGTCAAATTGCATATATTTCTTTAGTACATGTGAATATTAATCACATTATAAAATAATATAATTATTATAATAAAACCAATCAATTTGGTTCAACACATTGAGCAAAAAAAAAGTTTTATTCTAAATGTTATGCAACAAAAAAATAACAAAGGTCTTAGTAAAATATTTATCTATATCAGTTACATTTTAACATAATTTTTATACAAACAATAAAAAATGATTCATTCAACAAATAATGAACTGCTAGTGCTGTTAAACAAAATAAAAATTAACATGAAAAAAAACCTAAAAAAGCTATTGGTAAATTTAAGTTTTATTTATAAGTTCAAATCAAAAATAATATAATATATAGATTGTCTGATCTTAATTGAGCTTGAGTAAAAAAAAATGTTTGGATAATAAGTTTAAAAATAATCATAAGTTTTTAGCTTGCTAATAAATAAAAAGATTTATCAATTTCTAGGTAGATATGAGCATTTAAAAAATTATCACAATTATGGTTTTAATAATTATTAGTTATTATATAGACCATGTCCAAAACTAAAAGTTTTAAAACAAAATGAAAAATTAATGAATAATCCAAACTTAATAAAATTAACAAAATGTGTAATTATAAACAAGCTAGGTGTAAATATAATTATCTTTAAATGATACGTAAGGTCGAATAAAAAATACAAACAACAAACATATTATAAAATAAAAGTTGAATTAGCTAAGTTTGATGTACACAAGTGGGTTGTTTATCTTTATAAGATATAGATATTAAATAATAAAATAATTTAAAATACTTGGTATGTCTTTAATTAAATGGGGATTAGGGGAAATAATGTCATACAAAGAGAACAATGGGAAGGTTAAGAAAAAAGTTATATAATGAGTAAAAAATAAAATAATTTATTTAGTCGTTACTAAATAGATATCATGGCAAAGCCAAATATTTTTAACAAAACATAATACATTACTAACTTACCTAAAATAAAAATATATCACATTTCAAAATGTTTAAAAACAAGTTATCCCTTGGGTCATCTAAGTTGCCACAAGTCTTCATTAACTGTATCCCTCCTGATATTTGGCATCTTCAATATTTTTTCTTTGGCTTCTTTAGTGATCTTTGTGCATCCATAGAGATCAATAGACCGCAGAAGCTTGCATGAATCAGCTAGGTGTTCGAGGCCTTTATCAGTCACGGAGTTGCACTGACCAATATTGAGTACTTCCAAGTTTTTGAGCGACTTGGATATGTACATCATGCCGTCATCAGAAATTTGACATGATCCTAAAGAAAAGGTATGCAGTCCAAATAATCCATGAGATACGTGCAATAATGCTTGATCCCCGATTTTATCGCAAAAGGAAACATTTAAACTACCTAGTTTTGTGCAACCTTCTGACAAATAACCAATTCCAATATCGGATATGTTATCGCATGCACTTAAATTTAATTCTTCAAGGGTATTCATACGTGACACATAGTTGAGACCCGTGTCAGTTATATTTACACAGAAGCTTAGGTTGAGGCTTTGTAAACTACGTAAACCTTCAGACACATACTTAAGGCCTTCGTCTGTTATATGCTGGCAGTCTTGTAGTCCAAGAAACTCAAGTTGTGAGTTACCATCAGTCGTATCTTTACTGGCACCACTGATGTGCGACAATCCAACATCTGATAAATGCCAACACGACCTTAAGTTAAGATACTTGAGTTTCTTCAATTTTCTAGCTATGTGTGAGAAACCTTTGTTGGTTATGTATGAGCATCCTTGGATCTCCAGTCGAGTAAGGCCTCTTAGCGTATCAGCGATACGTATTAGACCACTGTCTGTCAACTGCTTACACAGTGACAAATTCAGTTCTGTTACGTTGGGATGGTGTTCCAGAAACATCTGGTGTAGATCGTCGTCCTTAATATGATAACAACCACTCATATTTAACGACACGAGGTTAGGCACGTTTTGGACGATTTCTCGAAGGCACTTGTACCTGGACACGGACAGCACTTGAATTCGTTTGATGCCACGCTGTTTTAGGCTTTCGTACATAGGATACGAAGATCGGCACATGTCGATTTTGGCCTCGACACCTCGCCATACAGATTTATACCACGCGGCTTCCCGCCATGCTGTACATACTTGGGCTGCACGACCCTTATCTGGTACGTCTAGGTAACTGAAAATTAACGCCAGTATTTCGGGGTACAGCCTGTGCACGTGCGTGGGTCGGCTGTCGTCGTACTGGCAGCCACCTGCCACAGTCCGTTTTTCTACCGCCGTAGTGGCCGATTTGACTTTTCGAGCCGATGGCAATGGTATGTTCGCTTGATAAGGCTGCACTCGGTACGGTTGAAAACGCGAGATGTGGCGGTACGAGATGGGCACTTCGGTGAAGCCGCCCAAGTCGTCCATGATAGTGCTGAATGGGCCTGACATAGACACTGTAATCACAATAGACGTGAGAGCGGATCGGCTTTAAGCCGCTTTGGTTTAACGATATGTCGGCTCAGTATGGACGACCGTGTCAGAAACGCGTTGAAACACTAACGACGACGTACGTCATGATGTTTTTACACGGAGACGAACGGATGAAAAATTAAAATCGCAACACAAAATGCTCGGGACGCACGCAACAAACACACACAACAAACGTAGCGAGAGCATATACAGCACTGAAGCGGTCGAAGGAACGGGAAAAAATATGTACTACGTCTGTGTACGTGTGTGTGTGGCGATATTTCAAACGGTCGTGGTCGAGTAGAAGTGGGAGGGAGTGAGGGCCAGTCAGAAAACTCAAAACTATAGAGGTCGTCGGTGGAGGGGCCACAAGGACATTGCGGAGTGTGACTTAGTCGGATGACCTCGGCTCTGTTCGTTCGTCACCGTCCGTATCTGTAGCGCTTCGCCGCGCTCTTATTTTTCAAGTCGTTAGTGTTAACGTTACCAAAGAATTCGGGCGTATTTATTCATACGGACTATTTAATTTCACCTATTTTATTATAAATTACAAATAGTTTATTATAAAATACTATGTAATTGAAGTAAAGCTTTAGATAAAAAATTTTTCAATAATATGTCTTTTAATTTTTACTCGTTTTTACATTTAATAGTCCAATCCATGACTTCACTTCGTGTACTATCATAAAGATTTGCATTCGCTATAGCAACTTTTCTAAAGCGTTTGAAAATTTCTAATTGATAATTGTAATTTTAAAGATTATGTTAAACTATTTTAAGTATATGATATATACTTAATAATATAATATACATAATTAAATTGTGTGTGTTACATTATTATATTTTGATAAAATTAAAATCAAAAAATTGATTTATCAAAAATTTCAATTTTTAGAGTGATGATTTTATTAGAATTTTTTTTTTCTTTTGATATAAAAAAAATCAATTTGTTGAGAGTGAACGTATTTTCTATTATTCAATGAATAATATTCATGTATCTTCAATTACCATGTTTTTAATGAATTTTTCCAAGAATTTAACCCAACGAAATAAAATTTAAACCATCTAAAATCATGAAAAAGTATTCATTTTTATGAGTGCTGTAATAACTCTTATAAATTATAAAAAATAGGTATTTATCAAAATAGTTGAAATTATCGATATTAAATTTTATAAATAAATGTTTTAGTAAAAATAAAAATTTGTTACGAAATTTAAACTTTTTAATCAATATACTTAACTGTTACAAAAGAGGCGCATGACTCTCTTAGGGGTTTAATTGAAAATTCAAAGTAATAGTAAATGAATTTTTGGCTTCGAAACCTCAATACTTCAAAGTCTCAAAATATTTTACATCAGTTTTGTTTTTATTTTTAATTATGTTTTTGTTTATAAAAGTGAAACTTCTACTACTAAATATATTTTTATTAAATAAATTTGTTTTTTATTAAGCTATTAATTAATATAATTACTATAAAACTCCTTGAATGAATATTAGAATGCTAGACGGTTTCTCTATGAATGAGAGGTAGGAGCTTACCCAAAAATTGTTTAAAAAGCAAGTATATTCGATCAATTTCGATAGTAAAATGATATATTTGAAATCATTAATTAGATTTGGTTCCGCTTTAGGAAACTAAATTTTTTAATAATCAATGTGACAAAAATACCGATCGAGGGATGTAATATCAATTATTATGTTTAATTGTGCTAATTGTAAATAAAGGAATATTTTATATTTAATTCATCATAAATTTTTCAATATAAAATTTTAATATGCATAGCTCAATTTATTTACGCATGATATTTTTCTTTAACTTAATTTTTTGTTTTTAAAGTCCACGAAAAAAAAACAATCGAACACTGTACGATATTTTATTTAAATGATAGCTAAAAAAATTTAAAAAAATAATTTTTAAAAGTTAACATAATGATAAGAAACCTTTTGTAAATGAATAAGTGGAGTTTTTTTTCTAATATTTATTTATGATAGCTTTTAGGGTGAATATCTAAAACAGTTCTGCAAATAAATAATAAAAACGAAATATAATTCGACGGGTTTTTATAAAAATAATATTTTAATATACTTTCATTACTGTTTTTTTTTGTTTTTAAGGGGTATAACATAGGCAACCTTTTTTTGGTCTAGATATTATTTTTATAAACACTTTATTTTATAATTTAACTGGTGTACAATACATAACGTATTTTCGATCGTCAAACTGATAATATAATTTTTAATATCAAATACAATATTTATTTTAGAATTTATAATTTATTAAATGTTTTAATGTTTTCCCAATATAATGTATTCGTCGCAGTAGAAGTGCAATGACAATCTTTATTAAAACTCATAATTATAATTTAAATTCAAATTAAATAATTTGAAAACATCAATCCACCAACGGCTACAATACTCAAATTATTTAATAATTTATTAAATAATTAATAATAATCTCAAACGCTAGATAAATTATCTAGCGTACTTATACTAACATTGTTCAAACATGGAAAAGAAAAAGTGAAAGTTAAAAAATGTATGTTAGACGAATTTTTTTAACATTTCTCAGATATCTATTTTTTGAATAAATTTATCAGTAAGATTTCCATTTAAAAAATACTTTTAAAAAATGTCAAAAATTGAATATTCTCAGAAAATAATCAGTTTTTAATAGTTAGCTAAATTTTTATTTGTATTTAATGTTTTTAATAAATATAACTCAATAAAAAAAAATCGGTATCATATCTAAGCGCTCATTACTTAAACTATAAATGAATGCCATTTATAATATTTGACTTTACTTATACTAAAATTTAATATTAATGTGATACATAACATATTGTAATATATTTTTGGTTTGACGAACTTTCTTTAAAGTAGATTATTTATTTACTTAAACAAATGACTTTATTGGTGAATTTTTAAACTGCTCATTTTACATTTTAATTTTGAGTATTATGTTTTAAATTTTTCACCAGATCCAGGAAATAACTAATAAAGTAGTATGTTGTATTTTTTTACATCAATTTAACTTTTTTTATGAGTAATTATTGTAGTAGTAATATTTGCAATGAATAATTATAGTTAGTAGTTTTTGGCAAAGATATTGATAGTTTAAAAAATTGTCAATACACTTGCCGTATATCATAATGCTCTTATTTAAACATTATTTGATTTTTAGCTTCGATGCGAAGCTGTTTCTTTTTGTATATACTTTGTCAAAATCCAATAAAAAACCTAAATACAGAAAGTGATTGAATGTATTAAAACAAAGTATTTTCCTACGTTAATAGTTTAAAAAATATGTTTTTTTAAGATACTACCCTTAAAAATTGAAAAAATGTCTCTCGTTCCTCATAAATAACGGAAATCCCCTAAAAATTACGATTATTAAAATCGTTAAATTTCGATATTTTTAAACATTTTTACTTAAAACTCAAGTTAGCAACTTTAGCATAAAAATATTACTTTTTCAACTTAACTTTTGAAAATATTCTGAGTTTGAAACACACGTTAAATAAAAACTTATATTATGTACTAAAAATAAAATTTATAACGACTTATCTTCTATGAAGATTATATCATATCATTAATGAATGTCCTTATAAAAGAACACGCCATTTTTGTTATCAAATTTTATATTTTATTTTATCAATATTAAACTTTTTGAAAAATCTGGATATTAATCAAATGTTTTTCATAAGTTTTTTAAATGTTCATTTCATCTGACTTTTTTTAAAAATCACACAATTTTCTCTTATACAGGGGGTTTTAAACTTAAAACATACCTATAAAAAGTAGAACTTTTTTTATTTAAAAATGTTCCGGAAACACTCCAAGGGGTTTAATCATACGTTAAATTAACGCTTATGTTAAATATTATAAGTTGTAAAGGAATAAATTAGTCTTAATATCTAATTTTCTGTATTTAAACTGTATTTAAAAAAAAATGTTACTTTTGTGTAAAAATCACCGTTTTTTGTTTTATTTAATTTTTTATTTCAATTATTTGTGTTTATATTTTAGGTCAAACAATATAGTTATATAGGTGTGTGTATGTGTGTGGGGTGGACGAATAAGTATCCCATCTAATCCCTTTTCTCTACAAATAAAAATTTAAAAAACATATTATGTTTGGTTAAAAATATTTTGCAGCTTTTAATATCTATTCAATAAGTATATAAAAAGGAAGGGGACTGCCCTTTTTAAAAAAAATGTTCTAGCTACCAGTGGTTTATGATAAATTACAATTTTAATTTCATGACTGAAATAATAATGAACTAACGAAGGTCAGAATAATCGTATTAATGAGTTTTTGATAAATCCATAATTGAATGTTTGATACATGTATACCATAGAGGTATTGAAATATTCAACTACTTTATATTTTTTTTATAATTTATCCGTTAAAATTACAAAATAGATTAATATTGAATATTAATTTCATACTAAAGTTTATTTCTATAATATGTATTTATTCATGTACTATACTTATACAACATAAAACTAGTAATTAAGAAAATTGAAGCCTACATTGTTTTCGGAATTATCCAACAATGCCTACTAAAAATCAAACAGATTTGCATCGAAGTCTTTTTTGATAGTGATTTTAATCATTGTCAGATATTATATATACAAGTCCCAACTATGCCGTGTCCTCATTGTGCTAGGTTTTTTAAGCTTGAATACATAAAAACCGTTGCGCAAGTTAAATGGAATTTAAATTGATTTTATACACAAGAATCTTGGAAAGACTCTTAATGTTTCTCTCCCTTTAAGTGAATTCCTAATATAACATGTAAAAGTAAGCAAGAGAATGTTGTTACTAAAATACCTAAATTAATTTTCAATATTACAGAAATTTAAATTAGCATTTATTCAAAAGAAATTGATATAACTAAATTCTTATTCTTATAATTACATGTTAATTTTTTGTTTGTTGAAATTACTCTAACAAAGATTATTTTATATCTAATTTGATTTCAAGGAATTATTTTAATTCACATACTATTTCAATATTATATTAACGCTATTGTCACAAAGTTCCAGGATTTTTAAAAATCAAACACACTGTTGAAATAAATTAAATTTTTTGATACATGTGTAAATATTAAAGGATCCTTAAAAATTGATTGGAATGAATTAGCTTAATTTAAATAATTCGAGTTTCATTTCGTAACATTTTAATGATAATTTTTGTTTTGTCTTGTATGGAATTACATAAATCATATCCGATTCATTTGGATAAAAGTTTTACTTTTATTAATAAAAATAAGAACTCCATTTTTTCATCACGTGTGGATAACTTTGTATTATAATTTTGTTAAAAGAAAATAATGATTACTCGGATAATACAATTGATAAGACTCATAAAAGTGTGGAATAAGTTATAATAATTTTGAAAACGCTGTGTTATAAAATTCAATATTAAAAAGGCTAATTCTAAAATAATGATTTGATAATTTCATCATATAAAATATGTTTTTCTAGAAAATAATTGTATGTTTCAAAAAAGTAGGTAAATTATACTCAATTCAGTTTTTATAAAAATTATTACAAATTATTTAAATAAAAACGTTATTATGTATTTAGTTCTTCATGTGCTTGATCTATAATTTATTTATATAAGCAACTTAGATTTTCGAAAAACTAAAATATATTTAGAATTCTTATATAATTTTAAATTATAATTTAAATATAATTATATAAGAATTCTAAATATGACTGATAATTATGAGTCATAATAACAATTTATTTTATTTTTAATGAAAGCACTATCTATAGAATTATAGCGACATTAAAGCTTTATGAAATTATCGTAAGAGATCTCTGATAGGTCTGTTTTTAATTTAAAACTGCTTTGTTTGATGTACTTACAGTAAAAATTAATATTCTCTTATTTTTTTGTTCATTTTATTTCATTTTTTATATATTAAAATATAACATTTTCAAGTTATATTAATTTATTTATTAGGCTGGACAAAAAAGAGAAATTTAAGTTTTAACGTATAATTAATTAAATCAAGTTGTATAACTTGTTACTTTTTTGGAAGATTTAACTTGTAATTTTTTACCATGAATGAAGTGTTAACACTAAGTTCATTATAATACTATAAAAATAAAGTTAATTTATTTTGGTTACTATTAACTTAAAAAATTATATCTGATTTAAAGTTTTATATAACTTCGAGTATTACGTTATTTCAAAAATAAATTCAACGAGTTCAAAACTAACTCAACCATTTGAATTAGTAAAAGTCTATATTAAATATGATTGTAGATAATAAAAATACTTCAACTAAATTTTCAGCCCTAATGTAAGTATGTGCGCAGTGATTAAAGTGGTAAAAACTAGGAGCAGGACTATACACCAAATTATCTTCCTCAATGGTTCAAAGTTATATTTATCATAATAAGCAAATATACTTACTTAGTAAAAAAAAATATATCAATAAAAGAATAAGATTAGTATCTACTTATTAATTTTTGTTATCACCTTAATTTTAGCTTCGATGCGAAGCTGAGAAGGTATTAGTTTTACTAAGATGTGTTNGATCCAACTATGCCACGTCACCACTGTGCCGCGACCCCCCTGTGCTGGGTTTTTTTTATTTTTGTGTCTGTTACCACTTTTTTTCAGCTCTCGCCGAACCGATTTCTTTCAATGATACGTCAAAAGATCATAAATCGTATCTAGTCGAAGACATTACCCTCAAAAATTGAAAAAAATTCCCTCGTTCCCCGTAAATGGGGGAAACCTCCAAAAATATTACAAATTTAAAAATCGCTAATTTTCGAATTTTTTCAATTTTTTTTACTTAAAATTGCCATAACTTTTTTAAAAATAACCGAATTATTATAATTTTTTTTATATAGATGCATGATATCATTACTTTTCATTTGGTATATTTCTTTTTTACATCTGATCCTTTAACTGTCCACAGGGGGGATTTAAAATGACAACTTTTTTACAAAAAATTAACTTTTTCAACTTGACTTTTGAAAATGTTCCGGAAGGTCTGACACTTTTATATATATCTTAAATTAAAGCTAAAGTAATTTACTTTATTATGAAAAAAAAAAAAAAAAATTCGGACTTTATTTTATCTTCACGGTGAAAATGGCTACCGAATGCTATTTTCGTGTCAAAATTTTCGATTTTGTATTTTACATTTTTAACTTTATTATGCTATAACTATTTGAAAAATATATGGATCAATACAATTTTTTCATAAAAAGTAGTATTTATATACATCTTTCATTCGACATACTGTTTTTTTAAATCGGACCATTTCCTTATATACGAGGGGGGTTCAAATCTAAAAAATGCATGTAGAAAGTAGAATTTTTTCTACTTAACTTATGAAAGTATTCCGGAAAGTCTGACACTTTTATATACATATTAAATTAAAGCTAATGTAATATACTTTATTATGGTAAAAAAAAATTTCGGACTTTGTTTTATCTTCATGGTGAAAACAGTCATCAAAATTAATAAAAAAAATACAATTTTCGTAAAAAAATTCTTTTTTATATTTTTAACTTTATTATGCTATAACTATTTGAAAGATATATGGATCAATATAATTCTTATATAATTATTTTTTATACATGTTTTTACCTACCATTTGGTATATATTTTTTTTTATATCTAACCTTTTACCTGCCCACAGGGAGGGATTCAAAATGACTTTTTCACAAAAATTTAACTTTTTCAACTTAACTTTTGAAAATGTTCCGGAAAGACTGACAATTTTATATATACCTTAAATTAAAGCTAATGTAATATACTTTAATTTGAAAAAAAAAAATTTGACCTCTGGACTTGTCTTCATGGTGAAAATGACTACCGTATGCAAAAATATGCTATTTTTGTGAAAAAATTCTTGATATTATATTTTACATTTTTTAACATTATGTTGCTATAACTTTTTAAAAAATGCATGAATCAACTTTATTCTTTAATGATAAATACTTTATATATACTTCTTTCATTCGACATACTTTTTTTTAAAATCGGACCATTTCCCTTTATACAGGGGGGGTGCAAACCTTTTAAAATGCGTATAGAAAGTAGAACTTTTTCAACTTAACTTTTGAAAATGTTCCGGAAAGACTGACACTTTTATATATATCTTAAATTAAAGCTTATGTAATATACTTTAATTTGAAAAAAAAAAATTTGACCTCTGGACTTGTCTTCGTGGTGAAAACGGACATCAAAGTTAAAGAAAAACGTACGATTTCCGTGAAAAAAATCTCGATTTTATATGTTATATTATTTAATTTATATTTTATATAACTTTTGGAAAAATGTATGGATCTATATTATTATTTTTTTATAATAAATATTGATATACCCCTTTCATCTGGCACGCTTTTTTTGTAAATCGGATCATACCCCTTTAACAAGGGGGGTCAAAACTTTAAACATGCGTATTGTTACTAAGATATTTTCAATTTAATTTTTGAAAGTATTCCGGAAATACTGACACTTTTATATATATCTTAAATTAATGAAAATGTAATATACTTTATTATGGAAAAAAAATTCGGACTTTATTTTGTCTTCACGGTGAAAATGGCTACCAAATGCTATTATTGTGTGAAAATTCTCAATTTTATTTTTTACATTTTTAACATTATAATGCTATAACTTATTGAAAAGTGTATTGATCAATATAATTTTTTTTATGAGAAATAATATTTTTAATAATCCCTTTTTTATTCGACATACATTATCTTAATCAGGATATTAATAAGGAACTAGCAGATCATGTAGCTTTTGGAATAATACACCAATTTTTTAAAATTAAACACTATCTAAAGATTTGCATCGAAGTGTTTTTTTTTTGATAGTGATTTTAATCACTGTCAGATATCATTATACTTTATCCAACTATGCCACGTCACCACTGTGCCGCGACCCCGCTGTGCTGGGTTTTTTTACATTAAATATAATGTAGGGTAAGGCACTGATAAATAGTCCAAGTAAATTTTTTATATATATCTCTTTATAGCCCTTAATATAATAAGTCTTTTAGTTCCATAAGTTAACTATGTGTTTTTTTAGCTTAATTAAAGAATTAATTAAACTTTTGAATAATACAAAAACAAATAAATAACACTTATTATGTCACGGTTGACCATGCTTCAATTTTTTATATTACCACGGTCATATCATGGAATTCTTATCATTTCATAATTTAAGTTCTTCTACAATTATTTTCTCTTTTAACAATTTTGAAATTTAGACCATTCGAATAAATTTTTTATATTAACGCTTTCCACTCTCTAGTGCTAAAAATTAAAGCATCTTCCCGGCATTTTGATTTTGAATTAAATTGTACGCTAGATAGTACTATAAATAAGAAAAGAGACTTCGTTCATCTCCATCCACCCACACTTTAACAACTGTATGTGCGTAATATAAAATATACATCTTACGATATGTAAAGATGTATAATATGTATATTTAATATATAATGTGTTTTAAATAAAAATGTAACCCTACGGACCTCAATTTTAATCGACAATTAAAGTTTTAGAACTGTATAATAATTTATTATTGAATATAAAATTTTCATATGAGTAGTTTAAATATCAATTTTATTGAAATAGATGAATGAAAAAATATTTAATTAAAATTAAAAACATTTTTTCTTAATAAAAAAAAAAATACTAATTGTTATAAATAGAATAATCACTATAGTTCCTAAAATGTCTATCAAAAAGTATTGGTACCAGAGTGTGTTGATAGCATTTGATTTTAAATGATGTGCTCCATTATGACGCATAACATACTCTGTCCAGTAAACAACTGTATCTTGGGGACTAATTGGACGATCGTGAAATTTTCGAGATAGTTCCATTGCATTTTTTTTAAATCTGAAATTAAATAATTAATAAAAAATTGTATTATACAAAATATAATTTGATATTTTTTAACTACGAAATACCTCTGCCTAATAATTTGTAACGAAAAGAATTATGATGAATTTTTTATGAAAAAATTTAATTTATCAAATTAATATTAACGTCTCCATAAGAGGGTGTAACGTTAATCATAGATAAGATGAGAAAAAATAGACTTAAATGGTTTGGTCATGTTATGGGGAGAGAGGAATCGGAAGCGATAAGAATAGTTATCGAAATGAAGTTTGAAGAAAGAAGAGGAAGACCAAAAAAGAGATGGAGGAATGTAATTGAATGCGATATGAGGACGGCTGATGTGATCGTAGATGGTGTGGGTGATCGTATCAAGTAGAAGTTTAGGATAAGGGTCGTTGACCCCAATTAGTTGGGATTAAGGCGAGGAAAAAGGAGAAGAATATTGTCGTCTCCATGGTAATATCTTGATATCTAGATTTTTGTAATTTTCGAAAAGAAAAAAAAGAATACATATCTTTAAAAAAAATTATAATGTAAATAGGTTTTTATAGTAATGGTTAAGATGCAACCAAGAAACAAAAAAAAAGTTTAGTAACACTATAAAAGAACAAGGGCACTAAAGAAAGGACAACGGCATGAAACACAGTTTAAAATTTTTGCTATTGAATGCAATGTAAAGTCGGTAGAGTAAGGAGGTGTTTTTAAATGCTCTGATTGTAACTCAGTTCGGATATTTTTGTAAAATCGAGTTCTTCAACCTAGAGTTACTGGTTTTATAAAAATNAAGATGCAACCAAGAAACAAAAAAAAAAGTTTAGTAACACTATAAAAGAACAAGGGCACTAAAGAAAGGACAACGGCATGAAACACAGTTTAAAATTTTTGCTATTGAATGCAATGTAAAGTCGGTAGAGTAAGGAGGTGTTTTTAAATGCTCTGATTGTAACTCAGTTCGGATATTTTTGTAAAATCGAGTTCTTCAACCTAGAGTTACTGGTTTTATAAAAATGACATTGATGAATCGAGAAGAATAAATCGACCAATAGTTAAAGCAAATTTGCGAATTTAAATCATTATCAATGCCATTCGCAGCGACATATNTTACATTGATGAATCGAGAAGAATCGAGAAGAATAAATCGACCAATAGTTAAAGCAAATTTGCGAATTTAAATCATTATCAATGCCATTCGCAGCGACATATTTATTTGCAGGCAATATAGGCAACTTCCTACAGCGGCATATTTTATTGCAGGCAATATAGGCAACTTCCTACAGCGGCATATTTTAAGGGGCGGTAAATATTGAAGGCCAACAAATTTATAAAAAGCTAGCCAATTTTTTTATTTTTTGTTAAGACATATTGACTTCATAATAATTCATTTTCATTTATTGTATATTTATGATATGTATATTAATAGCTACAAGCAATTTATTTTATGATTTATTAATAAACATAGATTTGCTTGAAAAATATTTTTAAATACTATTTTTTTTTTGAGGAAAAATTAGTAGTTTTTGGTGAAAATATATAAAAATGAGCCCTCTCCGTCATAACGTAATGAAAGGTGGTAAATTTATAAATGCCTAGAGGTGGAAAATATGTGAATACGCTTCTAGCCACTCGTACTAATTTTTATTAACTATTATAATAGGAATGTCTAATTAATATTAGGGTTGGATTATGTTCACTAAAGAAAATTTATGTAAAGTTGCATAAATGTAAATTTCAAAATTTTGCAAGACAGATTTTATTATATTTTTTTCTAAAATTATTGGTGACTGTTTAGTAATTTTCATTTAATATGTTAAATTGTTTTAAAAATTTATTGGTTATAAAACTAAATTTTCACTACAACTAATAGTATAACTAACAAACTAATCCACATCCCTAGTCGTTATGCTTGCAATGTCATCGTCGCAATAAAACTGTTTTTTAGACATTTTCTTATCTCGCCAAAAGTTCACTTCAAAGGAGCAGGGTCAAGATATCAATTAATTTGTAAGAAATGTTGTATGAAATCACTTGTTTCTTATTATAGTAAAATAAAACTTTTGGAGCAAACATTAAAAAAGAAAAGTTTTACAAACGACCATAGTATGGAAGGTAAAATCCCCTGTGGTAAAGTATGAGATATTAAAATACTAGGGTCAAGCATTTATCCTACATATTATATTATAATGTATAAAAATCATTTCTGAGGAGTCCGGACTCCCAAATGTCGGATATTTTTTCTGAGGGTATAATTTAAATGTTAATTTTTGTTATTTTTGTAAACGTTGCAAATTAATTTTTTTTACTGTAGTTTTGTTGACTTGTAGAATTAAACATTACTTATGGTTGTTAATAATTTCTTTGACTTTTTCTAGAAATATTTGTTTTGTAAAATTCTTGTAGTCTAAGAGTAATCCAGATCCCCAATATTTAAATAACTCCAAATTCCTTGGCTGATCAAAAAATAGAGGGAATCCTAGTACTGGAATTCCAGCACTAATAGCTTCTATAACTCCAGAGTTTCCTCCGTGAGAGATGAAAAGTTTTACATTTGGATGGCCTAAATTATAAGAGAATTACACATCAAAATTATATTATGTAATTGATAATTTTTTTTTGACAATATATTAGTTGAACATATGTATAAAAATGGTTCCTTTTAAAATTGTACCCTGCCCTATGAATTAACTATATGATGTTAAGTCAAACATATTTTAATGTAAACATAAAGTGTGGGACAATGAACGGATAATTTTTAAATAGCTATTCAAAAGCTTGTGTTGATATTGAGATTTGTAATTTTTAATTTGTATTCTACACGAGTGACACAGATTTAACTAACAACTCCTGAAATTTAAGTACTTTAAAATTATAATTTTTTAATGATTTCATCTATTTACAAGAAACAAGGGAAACTGTTTCATTTTTTTGGGGGAATGTCTTCGACTAGATACGAATTGTGATATTTTAACGTATTGTTCATATTGTGTGAGCTGAGAATAAGTGGTAACAAACATAAAAATTATCACATCATAGTAAAATCAACCTTCTCAGCATCGCATCGAAGCTAAAATACAAAAGCTTAATATATTATATTAATTTTATAGCTTTGTGTTTTTTTTATTGAATTGCCATTTTTATAACTACTTAAATTAATAAGTTAAAATATTTTAAACATATTATCTTCTTTGAGTAGTTCAATTAGCTAATTACTTATTTTATACTTAGCATGGTACAATTTTTTTGTATAACAGAACTGTTGAAAAAACTAATATATTTTTTTACGTATAATGTCATATTGAGGAAGCCACTTCCTTGTAAATACATTTTTTGGCTGCCCAGTCATTGGCGTGTCTGATTCGTATTTCCATAACACTTTTTGAGGTAATTCTGCAAAACCTTCTTTAAAACCATTTTGTATATTTGTTGGAAGATCATGCATTCTAGTTACTGAACCCAAGTTAAAATATATTACTCCGTGTTCTGCTTCGTCTATAATTTTTTGCAAATCCTATAAATACTTTGAATTATGTATTAAATTTTAAAATAAAAAAAATGACTAAAAAAAAAATAGTATAACAATAATTAATTTTCATTATTAGGAACTCTCACGAACGTTATTACATTGAGTGCCCATAAAGTAATTTTCAAATGGAGGATAATGTTAAGCATAGTAGAAATGTTATAAATTAAAATAAAAGCTCGAAAAGCACTATTTTTGCAAGTTTAATTATTTGTCAATTGAGGACATGTACCATGTTTTCTTTTTAAGTGATTGATGTGACTTTAATTGTCCCCAGGGAAGTTATTTGTCGCCACTTTTTTTTAATTTTATTTGTTATTGATGTTTGTTCAGTATTTATGTTTTGCAAATACTTATTATTTAATGATGATTTGAAATTATTTTCTAAAATTAAAAGTGATATTGCAATGATGCACCCGATCTAGATTAATTTCGTAACTAGTGTTTAAAAAACCGACTTGAACTCAATATTTATAAATAAATAAATTGATTTTACTTACTTTCGATTAATAAATTGGTAAAATTATAAGTTAGCAAACATGAAAATTGATTGTGTCTCACATATAAAAGATGGGTATCGGACTATCAAGTAAATTATCATTTAATTATCAACTTGAAGTTATTTGAAATAAAGCATTAAAAATTTTAGGTTTTGTCAAAAGAAATTGTAATGAGTTTTCGGACCCATCTTGTTTAATAAAATTGTCCATTTCTTTAATATGATCAATACTGGAATTTGGTTCAATAGTTTGGAATTCAAGGCAGTCTGGTTTAATTGAAAGATTAGAAAATATGCAAATTAAATTTATTAAAATATTTGCATTAAAAGTAAAAGTTAAGAATATAACAAATAATGAGTTAATGAAATGTTATAAAATCAAATCATTTGAGACTAAAAGAAAATATCAATCTATATTGCTCTTTAATTTATTGGATAATAAGATATATTATTTAGAAATATTAAATATTATACTGTTTAATATTCCAAGACATTTTCATTTTTTTTCATAATACACGTTCTCAAATGAGGTCTTGTTTATGCTAATTAGTATTAAGAACTATTATTGTATTACTGTTTTAATGTTGTATTATTTGTTCTCTTTTTATACTAGGCTTATATATATATTAATAAATAAATAAAAAATATAAAATTATACTATTTTCGGTATAATTGAAGGTCTTTTAAAACACTAAATAAAAAAATCATGTGTTATGAAGTAATACTTACATTAGGTAATGGTTTTAATGGTTTTAAATGTATACCCCCTATTTCTTTAAAATTATTCGCCAATGGCTTAGGTAAATCATAACTAGAATGAGTGTTTAAAAAAACTATGGACACATTTCGGAGTAAAGTTTCCGCATCAGGTTTATTTTCACCAAAAAACATGCGTCCTATTTCGGTAGCTCTATTATCGTAATACTTGAAGGATATATTGATAGTCAAATAGTTAATAGTACTTAATAAACGATGAATAAATGTTTCAGACTTAGGATATGAAATGTGGAGAGGTGTTATATACGATGGATTTGCTGGATTGTCAAAAGATTCCTGGTACCAAGTCAACATTTGGCTGGAAACAATAGCTATTTGAGGTATATTTAAATAATTTCCCAAGTATAAATCACATCTTGAACCCAAGAGTTCAGTTATCACCACATCAAATCGTTTGGTACTTAAGATACGCTGAAATTCTGGAAGGCTATATATAATTTGACATATTTTTTGGTGAATGTCGTTTAAAAAATGTAAACAAGATACGGGAGGTTGAAATACTCCTATCACCTATAAATTTTAAATATTACTAAGGTTATTTTAATGTTTATAATAATTATATTTTTTTAACTTTTTCCCAAGGTTCTGCTACAGATATGTGTACAAGATTGGATATATCAATATTTGTGTAATTTTCGTGTGGAATTTTCCTTGGAAATGCCGATACAACAGTAATTTTATGCCCTCTATCCATAAGTATTTCAAGAACCGAACTCATTACGTTCCAATGACTGGTTCCTGGTATTGGTGACACAGCTAAAATTTCAGCGGCATTTAAAATATTTGTCATACCAAGAACTTGTGAAATAAACAGTGTCATGTAAAGGCACATCTGTTGACAGAAATATTTTCATAATTTTTAAATCTTCGTCTTAGCAAAATTTTAAAAGACAAAAAAAATGAATTTTTAAATAATAAAATATTCATTTATTACTAGCAACCCTAATTAATTTTTTCTTTGCTAAAAAGGTCATTACAATTAATATAATTACATTGTGACTCAGGTTATTTTCTAAAAAAAAAAAAATTTAGCTCACTTTGCAATGAATATCATGTTGTTATCAATTCAACGCTTTCATAAAATCGGCGCAATTTGAAGAGTAATTAAGTACAATTGATATGCAAAATGGGTATTATATTATTGAAGAATATTTATTTATAATAAATGATGTTAAAATAAATTATATTATAATATACATTGACAGAGATCAATTGTAAGTTAAAATAATAATAATAATAATTCATAATTTAAAACTGATTAGTTGAATAACGAAATTGATGCGACCAACACATAATATATTGTATAATAAACATACGTACCATAATATTATAAATCTATGATTTATTTCGGTAAATACATAAAAAGTACACAAGTTAAAAATTAGTTATCCTAATGAAGGAGTTTGGAAACATTTTAAAACCACTCAATTATACTATAGTACAATAATTGAACAATAAATTTGAAATGTTATATTATTTAAATGATGTTAGAAATTCATTATACGAAAGTACATATATTCATACAAAAATTAATTATCTTTTAACATATTAATTACCGATAAGGCACGATCTATGTAAAAATATTCTTTATCATTAATTTGTATAGCTGCGTCACTTTATTTGAACAAAGTATATAATCAATGATTAAAAAGTATTTGATGGTCCAAAGAAACCTATCACGTACAGACATACAATCTATAATTTTTATGTATTAACAAAGTATAAAAGAGGAAGGCAAAAAAATATAATAATAATTGTAATAAAAATAAAGTATAATAGATAATAAATAAGTGTTTAAAGTTCCTATTTTTATTTTTACTTATTAATATAATTTTGTTTACCTTGAGATGTGAAATCTTAATTTTTATTAAAGCGTCAAAAAGTTATATACATACAAATAAATTATGTAATTCAAATAGTCATATTTTGTTTTACATCATACTTTTTTATACTCCTACAAACCTTAGTAGATCTGTAAAACAGGGCACTCTGTTTATCATAACTAGTAATGTACAATTTCTTCAAAGAATAGTCACAGGAATATTCCCAAAATCGCAAAACTTGTCTGCAATATTTTAATTTTTATATATTTTTCAAATTGTATAGTAACTCAAAATGACATATAAAATTAGTTACTGATTGGTTTTGTATAATGATTGAGTTACTATGTGTTTCTTGAATAAAATTATATAATATAATTTTCTCTCAGGGTTTGAGTACTAGGGTTTTAAGAAAAGATGTAAAATATAGAATACCAAAGTGATGTTTGAACATTTATTAGAATAACAATTATTTAAAATAGAAATTATTGCGATTAATTATCATACTCTGAGTATGAATAAAGCGTACCAATAGTTATCTAAGCTTGTGCTGACTGTGAGTCGTGTCAATAAATACATCGAGCATAATATAGGAACAAGTGAGTTCTCTATCTTCACAAGAGAGTCTTAATTTGTATTGACCACACAGGTCATTTAGCATTATTATTTATTTAAATAACATTTTATTCTAGTAATCACTTAATTTTTCTGATTCCCTACTTAATTTATGTACTCATTATATTTAACTTTATACTTTATAAATCTTCTGTGAAATATAAGTTTATTTCGTGATATTGGAAGCTAGGTTGAATATAAATATACTTAATTTATAATGCATGCCAAACCACTTCTTGCACTTGTCAAAAGATCATTAAATGAAGAAGTAGTGAACCGAAATGATAGTTTTTGTACCCTTATATATTAAATTTAATCCATTTATATGTGCAAGAAGTGTCACGACCTTTCACTATTATCTGTTTATTACTCAAATGTGTTAGTTATTACATATAATTTTACTTAAAATTGATGATTTGTCACAACTAAAGAATTTCTTAGAGTTATTACATTAGATTTGTATCAATGCATTTTTGTACATATTTCTTGGAATAGTTTAAATGATTGACATAAATAATATAAATTTAATTGATGACTAATGGACTCTTTTTTTAGACATATGTTCCAAATTCTATTTTTATTCAACTTCATTGTTAAATACGTTATACAGATTATTTTTAAATATTTTACATATGAACAAAATATAACTGACAAGTTGTGACTTTTTTTTTAAATATATTATGTATTCTTAGACTATGTTAAAATCATATTTTTTATTATTCATTTTTAATAATAAAAATAATAAATTTTTTTTCTGAAATTCTAAATAACCAGTTTTCTTACAAAAATTATTAATTAGTCAATAACAATTTTAGGATAAGTAATTATTGAGTTACAAACTTTGTTCTTTTTTTTTGTTCTTTGTTGTTATATACAAAAAACTGGCTCAATCATTGACTTTTCAGGTAAAAAACCAAACTAATTCTTTGTTACTGACTTTTCTTCTATTATTCTTCTGTTTATTATTATTTTCCAAATTTTCATGCTATAAATCGTATATTTCAATAATATCCATACTCTTGTTTATCTCCTTTGATTTTAAATATCGGCACCACAATACTATTCCTCTATTTTTATTACATTTTCCCTTCTAATAGGATATAATTAAAAATATCCTTCAATCATCCAATGTCAACATTACCGAGTGTTTTCTATACAGGGTGTTCAGTAAGTCAGGAAACAAGTTTCTATTGTTCTCATTGTTACAAACAATGAGAACAATAGAAACCCGTTTCCTGACTTACTGAACACCCTGTATATCTACTTCATCTGATTCTCTTGTTTTATTCTTTTTATTGATGTCATAGTCTCTCATACCTCTTTCTCACCAATTAAATCTACTAGTCTCTCGTTCAACAAGATATCCTCTAATGTCTATCTTGGATATTTCTCATTCAATAATTTTCTAAAGTACTCTTTCTAGCTTTTTTCATACTGTCATCGCTCGTTAGCACTCTCTTATCACTTTTTGTAGACCTTACATTGTGATTATCTTTAGACCGGGATTCTCTTATTTTCGCAAGTCTATAGACTTCTTTTTCGCATTACTTTGTTTCTAGCAAATCATAAAACTCATTATATCTCTTAAACTTGGCCTTAATATCCGCACACTTGGCTTCTTTACACAAGCGTTTATACTCTATCCAATTTTCTCTCCTTTTGTCATACTTAAAACTTTTTTTATTACTCTCTGTGATTTTCTAAATGTCCTCATTCCACCTGACATTATACTTCTAATCTCACAAACAATCTTCTTATCAGTATTCTTTTTACAACTAGTAAATCTATTCAACAGATGATTTATGTCTCCCTTGGTATTCTACGCCGTACTTTAAACCGCCTTTTATACCACCTTTAAAAACTATTTTTTTCTTTTTCCCCTTTCAATTTCCACTATCGAATCCTAGATTCTCCTCCTGTGTTCTTTTTGTTTTTGTATAATCTCATCCCACTATACTACAATTCCATTATCACCAGTCTATGTTTTGTAGTTACATTCTAGCCTGGGATAACTTTATAATCTTTTAATCACTTTATACTCTCTCTTTTCACATAAAATAATCAATCTGTGATTTATTACTCGCATTCTTATAAGTTATATAATGTTTTTCCCACTTTCTAAAATAATTATTAAAAACAGCAAGTTCAAATGATATTGCAAAATCCAGGATTCTTTCTCTAGCCTCATTCTTCCCACTAAAGCCATATCCTTCGTGTCTCCTTTCATAACCTCTCCTCTTATTACCGACGTGTCATTAGTCGCCTCTTACGACTGGTAGAGGAGCCGTGGAAGTATTATTATCCTCTATCCACAGGGATAGAGGATAAGTATACTGTCCCCCAAGTTTTTCGTAGTGGCTATCACAGGAGTGACTTTATGGTTATGGCTGAATGTTAGCCAAGGAAAGCAGCGGAGTGATGGGTCACCTAGGTGATGCTATTCTTGATGCCTACTGGCCTTTTACAGTGAGAAGATACACTGGAGATTACGCATACCATAATGCGAAGTGGTTTGGATAGTGCCACAGCCCTACCAAAGTGGCCGAGGTAGGTGCAAGCCAAAGGAAAACAGTACGGACAACCTAATTATCCGGTGCTGGTGTTCCGTTTGAAGACACAGTGCGAACAAGGACCGATGGTAACATCGATCCGGTTTGTACTGACCCTTCGAGCCCAGTAAATAGCACCCAGTGCTAACACTGATCACGATTGTAGGTGGAACTCTTCGGAGAGAAACGATAAAAGACAATAAACATTGTCCCTTAAGTCTACTCCTATTTACGATAATGTTGCCAAATACTATACTTAATCTCAAAAATTTTCACCCCTTTCTTCATACAGAAAATACTGATTCCAAAAATATTACGATAATATTTATGTAAATAATTTTTATAAATAAAAATGGTGATTAACATTTATACAGTTTTTTCTATAAATTTCTGTAATTTTTAATGTTAGCTAATTTAATGCTAAACATGTATCTGTGTTTATCTAAAAACCAATAAAAACCAATAAAAAAATATGAAAAGAAAATATTTTTATAATATAGTTTTTAAGGGTAATTATTAAATTTGGAAATTTCTTTTATACTTAGTAAAATTTAAATTATCTCGATAGTTTACAAAGTTTTTTGAAGTGATGTTTGAATTACTTTTATTAAGATTTTCATTACAATCTGTTACAAGAACGAGTTGTTATAATTAAGATATGTTATTTTTAAATTGTAATAGCACAATGCAAATCATATTATTTCATAGAAAAATTGTTTTTTCAAATATTTTTGAAAATATAAATCATACCTTACCAATATCAACGGAATCAATAAATATTCAGTCAATATATAATACAAAAACATTGAATAATTGGGTAACTGCCAAAGAAAATTTACTAAAACATAAGTATAAAAATTGTAACAACTAGCCCCACTCTCCCTTACTCAATTATTAATTATCAATAATTAATCCTTGCACGAGTTTAATTCGTGCAATGATTATACAAAAGGTGAATGTAAAAGTATTGTTTTAAAACTACCGAATTTTAATCTAATGTTATATAACAACTTAAAAAGATAATTACTTTAAATGTAATTTAATTAGTTATATGAAATTATTTATTTCGAGGATGATCTAAAGCAGATGATTACGAGATTATGTATTTTAGAAAATTATGAATATAATAGTAAAAATAGTAGTGGACTCGTTACACTAAGATTTTTTTTAATATATCATCCTAAGTGGTGAACATTGTGTTTAGTTTATTTATGAAATATGTACCCAGAACAAGTTTATTAATTTTAATTTTTACCTAAATACTCTTATAAGAACGTAATATTATTTTATTTTATTAAATAATAAAAGAAAAATAGTGATGGTAATATTATAGTACCCTTCACTTCTGGACAACCTTAAATATGACGAAAAGAGTGAAGATATGTAATAATTTAACTAGAAATAAGTTCTTAAACAATATTACTCTATGCCCATCTACGCACCTAATCTTAAGGTTATGCTCTACCTTTTTGATATCGTGTAAGAAGTTTGGGTAAAGAGTAATACTGATTATAAATAAAAATATGTTTCAATTGTAATAAATTTTGAAGTGCAATCTCTCTCTTTATATATATATTTTATCTAAGGACGATAGAAAACTATATTCTAACAGTGTCCTCAAGGCTATTCCTTATCTTTTTGGTATAGTGTAAGCAGTCAAATAGAGAATTTATGAAAATTATTATTAGTGAAAATCTATCTTAATACTGAAATAGTTTAAAAGTTATAAAATTAGAAATCAGAAACAGACGCAGGTTTTATAAGAGAAAATCTTAAAGTGTGCTCGTCGTCGATGACATATGTTGTTGATGCATAATATTGGTTACAATTAAGAGAGACGACTTCCAATAAAATAGCCGAGTCCATTGAAATGAGAAATCAACGTAAGACCATTTCAAGTAATCAAGTAATGAAATTAAGGAAAGTACTGACATTTAGCGTGCTTTATTTTCAAAAACTTCATGTAATAAAGAAGGTAAAGTAGAGATATATTTATAAGGCTGTTTAATTCAAACTAAAAATGCTAGACCGTTTTACATACATCAAACACCGAGGTTCCATCAAACCCCAGTAGTAAAACTTATCTTTTTGTTTGTTACATATTAATAGAATGTCATCTTAACAACGGGTGATTAAAATATTATCTATGATACATTACAGGATTTAATAATATTCTAATTCTCAAACAATGGCAAAGAAGGTACCGCTCGATTGGCGAGAAAATTACCATTGTCATTTTAAAACGGTTCAATGTCGTTTTATATAATATTCAATTAAAAAAACCTTAATAATATAGATAAAATAAATTTAATGAAGTATTTATAAATTTATAACACACTGCACCGATTAACAAATAATAGAAAACAGGCCACTCAATGTGGAGACGAGTCTCCCTATTTTCGTAAAAAAACCATTATCGCTGCAATCCCATTTCCGAGCTCTACAATTATTGTCTATCTATTGAAATTGAGAATGATATTCAAACGTTAACCTATCGACATTAACTTTTAAAAATAAATTAATTTGAGAAATAAAATTAGTAAATATAAAAATTACGTAATATATTGATAAGTGTAAAATTTGTCTCCGTTAAATAATCATAGTATTGTTAATTACTAAGTAAATAGACTATTTTAAAACTAGTTTGAAAATAAATTCTTATTATCACGATTTACAGTAAATTTTTAGTACTCATTAATAATACATGAAGACTTTAATTATTTTTTCATGCTCAATCAAATAGAAAACTTAAATAAAACAGCGATAATTTCTCGTAATTTAATTAGAAAAATTGTTTGTAATGTAGATAAAAATATATAATTAAATAATCAATTTTATCTTTTTCATACGGCAATGTTTAGTTTATTTATGAAATAAATATTAGGATGTGATAATTTTTTATAATTGAAATACATACTTGATGCCATCAATGATATACTCAGTAGTCTTGTTTCTTATACAGTTTTATTAACATTTTAATAGTAATTTAATTTCTAACAGTACGAAAATTTCAATAATTAAAACATTTATAATGGTTGAAATTTAATAATATTAGATATTCTTAAAATTGCCCATAAAGTTTTATTACAGAGTCAGTTTAATTTTCCATATAATTAATATAAAAGAAGGTAAGCACTTTTCATATTAAAATAAATTGGTGTATTAGATTTATAATAATTTCAATTTTAGCTTCGATGCGAAGCTGAGAAGGTATTAATTTTACTATGATGTGTTTTTTTTACTTTTTTTTTATATCTGTTACCACTTTTTCTCAGCTCTCATCTGACCAATTTCTTTCATCGATACGTAAAAAGATTAAAAATTGTATCTAGTCAAATACATTATCCTCATAAATTGAAAAAATGTTCCTTGTTCCCCGTAAACGGGGGAAATCTTCAAAAAAATTACAAATTTAAAAATCGCTATTTTCGATATTTTTCAATTTTTTTTACTAAAAACTGCCGTAACTTTTTTAAAAATAAACATATCAATATAATTCTTTTTTTTATAGATGCATGATGTCATTACCTATCATTTGGTATATTTTTTTTATAAATCTGACTTTTTACCTGCCCACAGGGGGGGATTTAAAATGACAACTTTTTTACAAAAAATTAATTTTTTCAACTTAACTTTTGAAAGTGTTCCGGAAATACTGACACTTTTATATATATCTTAAATTAAAGCTAATGTAATATACTTTATTATGGTAAAAAAAAATTTCGGACTTTATTTTATCTTCATGGTGAAAATAGACATTAAACTTAATAAAAAAAATACGATTTTTGTAAAAAAATTCTTTTTTATATTTTTAACTTTATAATGCTATAACTTCTTGAAAGATGTATGGATCAATATAATTCTTTTTTTTGTAGATGCATGATGTCTTTACCTATCATTTGGTATATTTTTTTTATAAATCTGACTTTTTACCTGCCTACAGGGGGGGATTCAAAATGACAACTTTTTCACAAAAAATTGACTTTTTCAACTTAAATTTTGAAAGTGTTCCGGAAAGTCTGACACTTTTATATATATCTTAAATTAAAGCTAATGTAATATACTTTATTATGGAAAAAAAAAATTTCGGACTTTATTTTATCTTCATGGTGAAAATGGCTACCAAATGCTATTATTGTGTGAAAATTCTCAATTTTATTTTTTACATTTTTAACATTATAATGCTATAACTTATTGAAAAGTGTATTGATCAATATAATTTTTTTATGGGAAATACTATTTTCTAATAATCTCTTTTTTATTCGACATACTTTGTCTTAATCAGGATATTAATAAGGAACTAGCAGTTTATGAAGCTTTTGGAATAATCCACCAATTTTTTAAAATTAAACACTATCTAAAGATTTGCATCGAAGCGTTTTTTTTTGATAGTGATTTTAATCACTGTCAGATATCATTATACTTGATCCAACTATACCACGTCACCACTGTGCCGCGACCCCCCTGTGCTGGGTTTTTTTTTTAAGTANACTTTTGAAAGTGTTCCGGAAATACTGACACTTTTATATATATCTTAAATTAATGAAAATGTAATATACTTTATTATGGAAAAAAAATTCGGACGACTTTATTTTATCTTCAAGGTGAAAATGGCTACCAAATGCTATTATTGTGTGAAAATTCTCAATTTTATTTTTTACATTTTTAACATTATAATGCTATAACTTATTGAAAAGTGTATTGATCAATATAATTTTTTTATGGGAAATACTATTTTCTAATAATCTCTTTTTTATTCGACATACTTTGTCTTAATCAGGATATTAATAAGGAACTAGCAGTTTATGAAGCTTTTGGAATAATCCACCAATTTTTTAAAATTAAACACTATCTAAAGATTTGCATCGAAGCGTTTTTTTTTGATAGTGATTTTAATCACTGTCAGATATCATTATACTTGATCCAACTAT